CATTACTGTCCTCATTTTTCTTACTAGAAACAAAGAGATTCTGACTTCCAGAAGTTCATACACAATTTTGCGCAAAGTAGAAAAAGGAATAGAATACTCAGAGTCCAAATATTTTTTTATATATATACTTAAAATTATGTCCTCTTTATAACAGGCAGTGCTAATATCTTAGTCAGCTGACAGCATGGACTATACTAGCACAGAGCAGTGTCCAGTGTTCTTATTAAGTAAACACAGACATATTTCTGCCACTACCAAATTTTGTATGTCTGAGAAAAGAACTTCTTACCAAAATTAACTTTTTCTCTTACATTCAGTTAGACCCATCTGAAGATCGTAAGTGAAAAGGAGTTGAAAAGACTCCAAATTCCACATCCAGTTAGGAATATGCACATTACACTTTCTCATTAGGATAAATTGGAATATTCATTAAAATTCAGACTAAGCTTATTTTTTGTGTTGTTACATGTTCTAGAATTTTTTTTTGCTTCAGTCACTTTTTTAAAGCAAAATTAAGGACCAGTAATGATAGAATGGCATGTCAGTATATGTGTGCTGGATAATCAGTCGTTTTTCCTCCCACACCCCTCTGTTTTTCTGCTGTTATAAAGGTATTTGGTAGCACTAGGTTGTACCAAGCCTCTGTGTGACCTCCTGACTGTGATGGATTCAAAAATAGTACAGGTGGCTTTAAATGGACTTGAAAATATTCTACGCCTTGGAGAACAAGAGTCTAAGCAAAGTGGAATGGGCGTTAATCCTTATTGTGCCCTTATAGAGGAAGCATATGGTAAGAAATTACTTCTTATATAATCCACGTATCCGAACTTCATTATTTCAGGCTGTAAAAAACGAAACCATTATGAACTGTTTTGAAATTTGTAGGTAAGCTTAATGTAAGAATTACTTTGAGCATAAGTGGACATTAAAGTATCATAAATAATCTAACATGGTGGGAAAGTGTTTAAATGCAGAAAACCTGTGTTTGTCTGCAGTCAGTTTATGAAATGTCCCTCAGGAGACACAGTAGGCATGGCATGTTTCTTTGTAGGCATTAGAACTGCCGCCTTCTCCTCCTTAGTTTAATAGATATTCTTTTAGTGTAGTTTTAAAATCAGCTTGGACAGCAGAAATAGAAGACTAGAAATACATGGGTTCAGAAATGAATTCAATACAATTGAATTAATTTAACTTTGAATTCATTCATTTTGAGCAACTAGATTTTGAAAATGTTTTGTTTTGAATTCAGGACTTGATAAAATTGAATTTCTCCAGAGGCATGAAAACCAGGAGATCTACCAAAAGGCTTTTGAACTCATAGAACATTACTTTGGTGTTGAAGAAGAGGACTCCAGTATTGCACCTCAGGTGGATGAAAGTCAGCAGCAGTTTCTGTTTCAACAGCAGGAGGCTCCAATGGAGGGGTTTCAGCTGTAAACTACTGAAGTGAAGGCAAGCATAAAATGTAAATACTTGTAGGGGTTTGGGTTGGGTGTTTGGTTTTGGGTTTTTTTTCTTCCTCAGAGGTCTTTTCTTTATGGCCAAAGTTAGAGGAAAAGTTGAGTATGTTTTGCAGAAATAGATGAAGAAAGAGCTCATGCACTTTTATATATTGTGTTAGATACAGCTGTTCTTTGTTTTGTATTTGTGTTTTTCATTATTTCTTAATGTACAGAAAACAACTGTGAGTAATAATGTCTAAAAGAATTAAATGTGATTTAACAAGAACTGTTAAGCTAAGACTTTGTAGAATTTTAGGTAGTGGTTCTGAAATTTTCATGTCTCAAACTGCATATCAGCAATACAGTTACTGACGGTTGCATTTTTGGCAGTAGGCTTGACTTGCCCAGTCTCTATCAAATCTACCTCTTTTATTGAAGCAAAAACATTGCTTCAGAACTAAGGCATGAATTAAAGATGAGCTTGCAAGAAGCTGAATTGGAATGTGAAAAATATTTATTTAAATTGTGAAACTTTTATGCATTACTTACTTTACCACACACTGTTGGAATTTATTTATAAGAAGTATTTAAAGACATAATAGATATACATATATAATGCTAATTACCTAATATAATATTCAGTATATAAAAAAAGCTTTTTCTGAATTATGTGGAATGAGAACTATTTCAGAAGTTTTCCAATTGGAATCAGCAGAGAGCTTTCTGGTCATTTGGTGTTGACTCTGTAATTAAAGCTGCTAAATGGCATTAAAAGTCAGCCACAAGTACAGTACTTTGCAGTAGAAGCAGTTGCTGTAGTTACCACAAGAATGCAGTGATTATGAGTGACAGAGATGCTGATTTGCACAAATCACCAAGCAGATGGCTTACAGCTGTCTCCTGTCAAAGTGTGGTAGCACCGCTTAGTTTGAGAAACATTGCAATGTTTGCCTTTCTAGTACAGTAGGTTCTTGAAAGTTTAGACAGTGGGCGTTGGGTTTTTGACCAAATATGCTACCACCATTTGAATTGTTCTTTAAGTTGATTAATTTGGTTTTCTTCTGGTAAGACAATAGAAATACTGCAGTGAAGAATGAATAGTGAATTACTGTTTTCCAGTTGAAGGAAAAGTTTGTTGTACTGTAAATAGCATTAAGTATGTGGACACCAAAACTAACTAGAAGTTAATGTCATCTAAATATTTAGGCTCTATAATATACCGTATTTGCTGTTATACACTAAAAGAAATAGAATTCTGGTATTTACCTTAACAATTTTGAATAACAGAAAAATGTATGCTCTGCTTTGCATATAAGTAGTGTTTCTGGTGTAGTAGTAGTATATCTTATTTGGAGAAACCAGTACTTTGGGTTAATGCTGAAGTATGATTATTTTTATTACCTGTATTAATATCAAACTCCTGGGTTAAGTGAAATCCTTGACATACAACAGCATTTCATGCTTCATGAAAAGCTGCAGTTTCAACTTAAATTACTTACCCCATGGCACTGTGCTTATTACTAAACAATGCTATAATGCACTGAAAAATACAGGTTAAAGGCGGCATCATTTGCAGTACCTTTTTATAGTTAAGATTTTTTTACCATGGAAGTTAAGAGTAAGATGTTTCACTTTGATGTTACAGCAATATATACTATATTGTAATTGAATGTGCGACTTGAAGTGGATTTTCTAAGATTAATGGTCAGTTTTGACTAATATGTAACTGGGAGGGAAGAAACCTCTTCAGTCTTTATAGTGAAAGATAGAAGAAGTGTATATAGGAGTGCTGTTACTTTATGAACTCTGAATAATGAGATATTTTAGCAAATGACACTTTAAAACTAGATTTGTACAGCATACAACAGTTTTGAATAGTGTGATAATCTTGAGTACAGCTGCCAAATTTTCATATAATGCTAGATGATTGTATTTATGCCCTTTTTACTCTCATAGTTTTAGGTTTTCATATGCTGACCTTCCTTCTTTCCTGTGTGCCCCCTCCCCATCTGTTCAAAGTACAGGGTAACAATAATGGAAATCTACCAGGATGACTAGTAAATGCTGAATTTCAATGTTCTTCTAATGTAAGAAAAATATTCAGGTAACAGGGTATTTTGTTGTTTCTAACAACCTTGTTTTGATAACATAACCAGCTGTGCCTGCTTTTTATTTGGAGAACCCTGTAAAAACTGCATTTATAAGCCTCTCTAATTTAAACCAAATCTGAACTATAAAAATCTTTACATAAAGACTTGAAAATGAAGAAAAGAGAGGAACATTTAAAGTATTACATTTGTTTTGAAAGAATGTCTTCAGTTGTGTGGATATATTATTCTATATGTGTGAACAGTTAGTGACTGCACTTTACGCATTTAGATAAACTGTACTTCATGCCTCTGATACATTTAAGTGTAATGGTTTAAAAGGGAACTAAAAATGATGACTTTGGCTAATAGAAATCATTATTTAAACTCAACATATGATTTACCCTAAAATTGTTAATGAAAGCTCTTTATAAAGGTTAAAAGTACAGGATGGCCTGTCCTGTATTATGACTGGGTTTACATCCCACTTTGTTAAAAAGCACATACATAAACAAAAAACCAGAGGTAATGACTTAAGGCCAACTCTGGTGTAGTCATTTGCAGGCAGGGGTGTGAATAGGATGATGAAACCAGTGTACAGGAAAAGAAAAAAGCTGAGAGGAAAATCTTTAAGTTTGGCTTTAGATACGGACTCTGAAGTGCCCCATCAGTTGCAAAGTGTTTAAAAATACAGGGGTTTGGGGGTTTGGCTTTAATTAAAAGGGTACCATTTGTTCTGCTTAAATGTGAATATTAACTAGCTAATCTATGCAACTAGGCAGAGCATAAGATTATTTTTTTTTAGTTCCCTACTCTTGACACACTGAATCATATCTAATTTTTTCATTGTTGCACTTTTGTCTGAGGACTGGTTCATACAGCTTTTTAATTTCATAGTATTTGCTTTAAACACTGTTGCTAGCAGCAATCAGAAAATAGTAATAATGTTGACACAGAAATAAGCTAGCTGTAGAACACATTTTCAACTGGAAAATATTTATTGTTGGGTCTTTTTAAAAATAGAAAAGATTGCACTATTGTCTGTCCTCCACAGGTAATGCTCGGTTTAAATCTCCTAAATTGTACAACTGAGGATTTTTGTAACAGATCTGCCAATTGATACCTGAAGTTTAACTGTGAACCTCAGGAGCTCACTGAAATCTGGAATGAGAAATTTAATTTACTTATGGCACAATATGTTCATGTAACATTTGGGAACTAAATTTGCCTATATGAACTTCAGATAGTAATAGTGCATCTTTAAATCCGGGCCAAAGGCCCATTACTGTAACAGAACACATGAATAGTATGCAATATTATGGAATGTTAAATCTCCAAATACCGTACAGAAACCAATAAAATCTATTTTACACATGTTTGTTGTATTTATTTAGTGGTTGAATAAGTGTGACTGCTTAAACTAGAAAATGCATCTACCTTTTTGAATACCGCACTGAGGCAGATGAATTCAAACTGGCTGATTTGTGCATTGTAAAACTCTGCACTGTCACGAGACAAATTTTGGGGGGTTTAAATATGTTTTGCAAATATTTAACCAAACGTACCTGTCATTCTTAAGAAACTACCTCTTCTCCTTTAAAAGCAGTAATTAATTTCAATCATATGCAAAACACTTTAATCTTAATTATATGCAACAAGGACATTGAGCATCTCTAATGAAGAGACCCTCCAGTTCTTTTTGTGATCCTGTAACTACTTTTATTGGCTCCTGTGTGTACAATACTACAGCTGTCTGGTTACTGGGGACATTCACTAATCACTCTCAGCAACCGTTAATTTTGCTCCCACAAGGACATTCAGCGTTGTGTGTGAAGTTACTTGGTCTTTGCCTCTGCTGCTAGCGCAGCCTCCTTCCGCCACTTGGCCTTCTTTGCCAAGTTCCAGCTTGTTAAGGACTCATGACGTGCAGCAGCCTGCAGAAGTAGAACATCCACTTCAGAGTAGCACAGTAGGAATAACGGTGCACCCTAGGGACCCATCTCAAGAAAGGCCAGCAGCTACTTACATGTTAGGGGCAGTGGAATCGTGGGTTAGCTACAATGAGCACAGGTGTAAGCTGTTGCTGTTTATTTAGGTTGTCTGCTTTCCACAGAATTCCATCATTTTTATGCATGCTACATGGCAATTAGCTAGTGCTGGACTCACCTTCTTAGCTGAGGCAATCACTGCAAAACAGGCAACGATGGAGAGTCCAATCATGATGTAACAAGCTTTAACTCGAGCTTTGTTCCTTGCCTTATCTAGCATCTCTGGCCTGCAATTAAAATTATTGAATCATTACAAAACTCAAGTATCTCTTCTTCAAAGCATCACAGACTTAACACAATGGAAAAGTAACAGTTTCTAAATATGCATCTCCAGCTTGCTGTGACAGGTTATGGACCACCCAAAGACTTCACATTTTCTGACCCTAACCCATTTCCAGTGGAAAATCAACATCTAATGGATTTGAAATTCTTTCTTTCTTAAGCTGGGAAAAAAACCAACCAAAAAACAAAACAAAACTCCTGCAATAAATATTTGTATTCAAATATTTGGGGTAAATTTACCACAAATCATTCCTTTATCTCTGTTTAAACATAGTGGAAGTAAAATGGGGTTTATCTGTTTTAAACAGCTGGAGACATATATGTGGTGTCAACCAGATGTGGTGAAAGCAAGTTCCTTTTATTCAAAATTAACTTTAGTAATTAATGTCACATCTGTTTAGATGGTGTCCCATATAGTATTGGTTAGGCACTCCACATATGTGCGTAGGTGATTAAAACAGAGCTTGAACTGCTACAAGTGAAGAGATTTTAGTTCTTTAGAAAAACAGCAGCTTTATGCAAAGTGGGCAGCTGGTGTCAGCCTCCTCTGTTACAGGATCACATAACCAAACAAGAACAATCTACATGATTATTTTTGCTGGTCATCTAAGGTTAAAGTAATGAAAACTCCTGCCCTGCATCTGTCAGGAGTTGCTGCAAGAGTACAACCCAGCAAGCTGCCTTGGGACAGGCTCCCCTTTCTACCCTCCATCATTCTGGGCAGGCTGCATGCTGCTGCAAACTGGTGGTGTAGGAAATGTCTGCATCACTAAAATGGTTTCAAAGCTTTCAGCAAGTCTTCAGAGTCAAGCATAGTACTTGGGAGTACAGTTTCTTACATGTTCATTCCTCTCCTAAAGGAAGACCTTACAGCAGCCTTTTAGTACCTAAAAGGGGGCCTATAGTAAATCTGGAGAGGGACTTTTTGCAAAGGCGTGTAGTAACAGAACAAGGGGGAATGGCTTTAAACTGACAGGTTTACATTAGATGTTAGGAAGAAATTCTTTACTGTGCCAGTGCTGAGGCACTGGCACAGGTTGCCCAAAGAAGTTGTGGATGCCCCATCCCTAGTAGTGTTCAAGGCCAGGCTGGACATGGCTATGAGCAACCTGGTCTAGTGGAAGGTATCCCTGCCCATGGCAGGGGGGGTGGAACTAGGTGGATCTCTAATGTCCCTTCCAACCCCAACCGTTCTATGATTCTAATACTTCCTGTGCACTTTCCTAAGTCACATGAGAATGGTTTATATATAAATACAAAGATAAAGGATCATAAGATAAAGAATATACATAATATATAGTTATGGTTTTATAGATAGGCAAAACGATATATAAAGAATTGATTTAATATTGTGAGCAAAATCTTGTAATAATCTCTTCCCCTAAAAATACCTTTAGCTTTACTTCAAAGAGGATGGGTGGTAGGATGGGGCACAGCTGAGGTTTCTGCAGTAGAAGTTCTGCAGACAGATTTGTACCAAGGCTGAGGGCTGCCACGCTGCTCTCCAAGTCTTAATGCCACAGAAGAGGGCAAGCCTGATGAGCAGCTGGGCCACACTACCCCTTTCCCTGCCAACACACACAACACAAGCATGTGTTGCACCTCCTGTGTTTCTTCCAGGTGACTGACAAGTACTGGAGTAACTGCTTTTGTTTTCTGCAATGGTAAAAATCATCTTTAAAGCAAAGACCAGCACATAAAATCATTAATCCACTAATCCATTTGTAGCAACAAAAGCAAAACCATAAATGTTATTAGGGTGGTTTATTAACCTAATTATATTTCACAACACACTAATTGAAACTCTGCTGAAGCAGATTTTCACTTTCTCCCTGCTTTCTGCCACTGCTTTAAGTAACATAGACCTGATTATGTTCTTCCCTAATTGCACATTAGGGCCTCTGCTACTTAATCCTTAATGAAGACTCTGAGTAAACCCAGCTGCAGTCAGTAACAGCTTTTTCTTAAAAACAGATCAAAACATCTCACAAAACCAAACCACAGCCACCTTGAATAAGGACAGCAGACTTGACCCTTGGTACAAACTACCTTCAGCATCTATATTGTGTTTGCAGGTAAGAATAGCTTGCAATTATGTCTTTTTTAATTGTTAAAGCAGCAACACAGTTCAGCTTTAACATCTCACAACAACTTCTAATAAGTCACTAATTACGATCTTACAGCTCCAAAAAAGACTTTGCTCACCCAGAAAGCACAAAGTGGTGACACTCACTTTGCTCAGCCAGCTACCGCACAGAAATTTGTGTATGCATGTATGGACTGGCAAATGTATGCCTCATTATAAACACCTCCCGAAGACCTGAACAGCTTTATGAGCTTCTGAGACCTGTCTGAACCTTTCTCTAGGGGACAATGGTGAAACTAACACAGTGCAAGAAAGGCTGGACCTTTTGGAAAGCCACTTTCTAGCCCAGTAACCACCAGTAAAACCATCTGGAGCCAACAGGAGAAGGCAGAAGAGGTACCTTGCTGCCTGACACAGATCTGTATGCTGCTTACAGAATCATAGAATAGTTAGGGTTGGAAAGGACCTTAAGATAATCTAGTTACAACTTCCCTGCCATGGGCAGGGATGCCTCAACCTAGACCATGTTGCACAAGGCCCTGCCCTACCTGGCCTTGAGCACTTCCAGGGATGGAGCATTTTATCACTTCTTTGGGCAACCCATTCCAGTGCCTCACCACCTTCACAGTAAAGAACTTCTTCCTTATATCTAACCTAAATCTCCCCTGCTTAACTTTAAACCCATTCCCCCTTGTCCTACTGTTGCAGTCCCTGATGAAGAGAACACACCACCCAAGACAGGGACCATGGTCATCCCGTGATGATAAAAGGTTGTGCCCTGTAGAGAGACCTCCAAGATGTTCTCCAACATCCTAAGAAAAAGGCAGCAGTTGGCATTGGAGTGGTTTTGTGTGCTCAGTGACTGACTCTCCTCAGGGATTCTAACTTCCAGTGGATCAGAGAGCCACAATCGATATGATTTGGGTGTGAAGGGACCTTCAAACATCATCTAGTCCAGCAGGTCAGCAAGAATGGGAGGCTAAGGCTACATTAAGTACTTGTTTTTCCTTGGTGGGGTATGTTTTTCTCATAATTCCCTTCTCTGTTTTTCCTCAAATTCTATAATAAATCATAATTTATTGGATGTAAATTATACAGTGACAGTCATCTCCCTTAGACTGGGAGCTATATCGGTTTACCAATAACATCCTTCTCCAACTTCGTGTTAGGAATAAGCAAAACAAACAAGCCAGTACGTAAGTGTAACCAAGGCTATCTACTGAGATGGATCCAGCTTTTAACCCCAGGCTCTGGGGACTCCAGTAAGGAACATTTGTTCATCTTAACCTCTAACCAGGACAGGAAACTCTTCTGCCCTCTCATTTGTTTCCAAGTTTTCAGTGTTGAAAATCTGACTGGTTCAAGCTCTGTGGAAATGCTCAAGATGAGGATCACGCCACCACTTTCCGCTCAGCTCCATGTTCCCCTTGGACAAGGGCAGCGCACTTACGGGATCCTCTGAGGAATATCTTCTTCTGTCTTGAAACGCCCAGTCCAGACGAGGATTTTTTTGTCAAACTTCGAAGGCTTGTAACTTGCAACCACCCTGTGAGCCTGCTCGGCTTCAAGAATGAGAAAAAAAGCACTCCGTCACACTTTGCACTAGGAGTGAATGATGGGTGGTAGGAAGGGTGGAAGCCAAAACCCTGCCCGTACTGCTCTCTGCAAGAGGAGCTCACGGATTAAACTTCGAGGTGTCCGCCCCGCAGTTATCGCCACGCGGTCTCTCGAAGAGCCCTTCACGCAGTGGCCGCAACTCCCCGCAGCCTGAGCTGTGGATACCGAAGCTCGCAGGGAAAACCCTCGACCACCCGAGACGGGGCAGCCCCAGCCCCAGCCCCGCTCCCGCCCGGTCCCCACCAATCCTCCGCGACCGCCCCGAGACGCTGCCGTTGCGGCGGAGCCGTGCCCGTGTACCCGTCCCTCTCACGCCGGTGTCCCTACCGCGGGTGGTGCCCGGGCTCCGGGCGGGCTCCCCGGCGGCTGCTCCCCGCGGCGCGGGCAGGCGGAGCGGCGAGGCGGACAGCAGCCGCCCTGGGAGGAGGCGCGCCGGCAGCATGGCGAGGAGCGGCGGGACCCTCTGATGCGGTAGGAGCGGTGCCGCTCCTGGTCTCGGTCCTGGCCCCTATCCCGGTCCTGGTCCCGCCCCGCGGACCCCTCCAGCCGCGCCCGGAGGCGAGGCGGGACGAGGCGGAGCAGCCGCCGGCAAGGAGGGGGCTGGCCCTCCTGACAGGCTGTCGTGCTCACCTAAGGCACTGCTGGGCTGCAGCTTTGGCACTGGCACCTCAACGGTTCAGGCAAAGCTCGGTTAAAGGAACCACCGCGGTGCTTCAGAGGCATGATTTAGAGTCAGGCAGGCTCTACGCACCCAACACAGACCTGCCCATATATATGCTTCTGTTGTTTTAACACTGATTCTCATCACGTGTTTTTCTGTTTTGTTTTGTTTTGTTTTGTTTTTTCAATTACATCCAATTAACTTTGCTTAAGTTCAACAGGGACAAGTGTAAGGTCTTACACCTGGGAAAACACAATCTAAGAGTGCAGCACACACAGGGATCTGCCTGGCTGAGGAGCAGCTCTGCGTAAAGGGACCTGTGGATCCTGGTGGACAACAAACTCAGTATGAGTGAAGAGTGTCCAGCTACAGCAAAGAAAGCCAACAGGATGCAGTGTTACGACAGCAAGGGTATCACCAGCCGAGATAAAGATGTCATTGTCTCACTATTCAGCGCTTGTCAGACCACACTGAATCCTGTGTTCAGTTGTTCCACTCTACAAAAAAAAAAAGAAGTGGCCAGAGAAGTGTCACAAAGACAATCAGAGGACTGGGAAACTTGGGATGCGAGGAAAGGTTGACAGAAATGTTTCTGTTCTGCCTTGAGAAAAGGCAGCCCAAAGGAGACCTCACCACCATACTCCAGTATTTGAAAGGTGGCTACAAAGCTGGGGACTCCTGTTTTACAAAGAGTCACATGGAAAAAGGGGAGGAGTAATGGGCACAAGTTACACTGGGGCACATTCCAGCTGAGCACAAGAGGAAACTTTTTGACAATGAGAACAACCAGCCATTAGAATAATCTCCCCAAGGAAGTGGGGGACACCCCAGTGTTGGACGCTTTCAAGATTGAGCTGGACAGGGTGATGGGACATCTAGTCTAGGTCATGCTTTGCCTAGAAAGGTTGGACCAGATGGTCCCTTCCAAACTGATATTCTATGATTCACTAAAAAAGTTCTGGTTTTGTTTGTTTTTTTCCCTTTCACATTCTGGACATAATAAACCTTTATTAATAAATAAATAAATCCATCCAGCAATCAGAAAAGGCATCACAGAATACATATTTAGTAAGTAACAGCCAATGTCAGCATGATACCAGTGGTGGTAGAGCAGTTGATGTCATCTACCTGGACTTGTGTAAAGTGTTCGACACTGTCCCACACGACATTCTTGTCTCTAAATTGGAGAGACATCAATTTGATGAATGGACCACTCAGTGGATAAAGAACTGGCTGGGTGGCCGCACACAGAGTTATGGTCAATGGCTCAATGTCTGGATGGAGACCAGTTACGAGTGGTGTCCCTGTCCTGGGTTTAGCAGCAGCAGTCATTTTTCTCATTCTTGGTAGCTGGTGCAGTGCTGTGTTTTGACTTTCGGGCTGGGAACAAAGCTGATAAAAATGATGTTTTGGTTTGGCCAAGGACTTTGTGAGCTTCATGCTCTGCCAGGGAGGAGGGGAAGCCGGGAGGAAATAGAGACAGGACACCTGACCCAAACTGACCAAAGAGGTATTCCATACCACAGCACGTCATGCCCAGGGTATAACTGGGAGTTACCAGGAAGGGAGGGTGGACTGCAGGGTTGGAGGAGGTATTGGTTGGTGCTTGGTCGGGCTGGGGGGCAAGTTATCGGTTGCCTGGTGATGGGGTGTTATATTCTCTTCCCTTGTTATTTCCTTTATCATTACTATTATTGGTGGTAGCAGTAGTGATTTGTGTTATACCTTAGTTACTAAACTGTTCTTATCTCAACCCGTGGCAGTTGCACTCTTTCTGATTCTCCTCTCCATCCCTCCAGGAGTAGGGGGAGGGCGAGAAGAGGGGGGGGGGAGTGGGTGAACAAGTTGTATGGTTGGGGTTAAACTACGACAGTCCCTCAGGGATCAGTATTGGGACTGGTCTTGTTCAACATCTTCATCGCTGACATGGACAGTGGGATTGAGTGCACCCTCAGCAAGTTTGCTGATGACACCAAGCTGTGTGGTTTGGTTGATACGCTGGAGGGAATGAATGCCATCCAGAGGGACTTTGACACACTTGTGAGGTGGGCTGATGCCAACCTCATGAAGTTTAACCATTCCAAGTGCAAGGTCCTACACCTGGATCAGAGCAACCCCAGGCACAGCTACAAGTTGGGCAGAGAAGAGATTCAGAGCAGCCCTGCAGAGAAGGACTTTGGGGTGTTGGTCGATGAGAAAATTAACATGAGCTGGCTTCAGTGTGAGCTCGCAGCTCAGAAAGCCAACCGTATCCAGGGCTGCACCAAAAGGAGCGTGACCAGCAGGTTGAAGGAGGTGATCCTGCCCCTTTACTCTGTTCTCAAGAGACCTCACTTGGAGTATTGTGTACAGTTCTGGTGCCCTCAACATAAAAAGGACATGGAACTGTTGGAACAAGTCCAGAGGAGGGCCATGAGCATGATCAGGGGACTGGAGCACCTCCCATATGAAGATAGGCTGAGAAAGTTGGGGCTGTTCAGCCTGGAGAAGAGAAGGCTGCGTGGAGACCTCATAGCAGCCTTCCAGTATCTGAAGGGGGCCTATAAGGATGCTGGGGAGGGACTCTTCATTAGGGACTGTAGTGATAGGACAAGGGGTAATGGGTTAAAACTTAAACAGGGGAAGGAAGTTTAGATTGGATATAAGGAGGAAATTCTTTCCTATTAGGGAGGTGAGGCACTGGAATAGGTTGCCCAGGGAGGTTGTGAATGCTCCATTCCTGTCAGTGTTCAAGGCCAGGTTGGACAAGGACTTGGGTGAGATGGTTTAGAGTGAGGTGTCCCTGCCCATGACAGGGGGGTTGGAACTAGTTGATCTTAAGGTCCTTTCCAACCCTAACTATTCTATGATTCTATGGTGTAACTGAGTATCTTAACAGAATTGAGTCTGATGCACTGAGCAGTGGAAGTTTTTACATCTTGCAACCAAGCCAGAAGGCCTGCGGATGAACAGAGGAAGTCCCACTCCCCAGGGATGGATCACTGCCCGGCAGCAGCTAAAGTCCAGTGCTCAGTGTGACAGCATGAATAAGGAGTCTTAAACCATTTGTAGCCAAACCCTTCAGTTTTCTATTTTAGGATCAGAGCCAGAGGTAAGCAGCTTTCTCTGAGAGCAAACTGTTGAGAAGAGGAAATTAAAAATTTTTCACCAAAGTGAGTTCTAGTGACCTTGATTTTTTAAAAATTTTTTTTTTTTTTTTTGGTGGTTAAAATGCCATTTGGACAACATCTCATTCTGGAGAAAGCACTTTTTTTTCAGTCCCTTGTTGATGTTAATGCTCACTCCCCACTCCCCCCCCCCCCCCAAGAAGCTCTGTCCTATTTCAGACCACTGTCAGGGAGACGAAGACACATAGACAGAAATGACCTAGAGTGTGATACTGGGGTTAGAGTCTGGCTGTAGCCCCCTTGCCTTCTTCCTACTCAAAGAGAGCAGCGTGGTGTCAAGCAGTGCTCCTTGCCCTGGATGCACAGCTGGGAGGGGTGGGAAGAGTCAGCACATCAGGGCTAGGCTGCGGAGCATCATAAGCAGCACCCCAAATACTACTGTTGGCTGCTAGTCATGCTGGTAACACACACACACACTTAAGAGTCATTGTAGTTCAAACTGCTGTCAGCAGAGCTACTAGGAGGAAGCCTGCAGCTCACATAAATAGCTCCCAGCGCTCACCAAAATACTGCTCTAAAGATTACAGGCAGCTGAAAGGCATCAGCACAGCTGCTAGAGCTACTGAAATCTTGAGGGAGTTATCCCCTGGAGGAAAGGACTTGGAAAAAACTTGTTAGCCTTCGTAGTCTTCATTCTCTCTAACTATACTGTACACTATGTAATAGTGGCTTCAGAATACAGCATTTGGCATTATTAGCAATGAATTACATAAAACCCAAGGTTAAATAGAGGTTAGAATTAGAGAAGCCTCCTGCTAACCTCAACAAATGGCTTTTTCTCACTTCACTTCTCTATGAACAGCACTGTAGCTGGGGACTTTTGCCTTCCCTTGTTCTTGGAGATGGAAAGTATGCAGGTGGGCACACATGGATGCTAGTACTTTGAGAAATGGTGCTGGGACCTTCCTAACATAAGCAAGCAGAGCATGCTCTGAGCCAGAAAGAACCTGTAGTCTGACCCATGAGTCAGGGAAGGCCATGCCAAAGCTTCGTTATGACTCTGGAAGGTGATTCCTGTTCTGTGCTCTGAGGACAAAAATCTGTTTCAGGCCCATTCAATGTCCCCATGCCTGGTAACAGGAATAGATTGCTGGAATACTTACTGTTGTGGGAAATGTAATGCTTGCAAATGCTCTCTTTAGTATAACGAACCCTGATTTCAGCTTTTTCATATTTTCTGTATAGGGTAGCAAAAACCCCTTATGTTCTACCTACACTTGCTTCTTGCAGACAAGGCATTTGAAAACGTGTAATACAGCTTGGTAGAGCACATCTCTATTTTCTGCCAAGTCTAGCTAGCATATCTGTTACATCCTCAGCTCTAGCATGACTGTGCTTTACAGTAGCTGGAGAGGCAGACGCAGCATGTAGGACTCATTCAAAATTCTGACGTATGTGATGTCTTTCATTAAAGATACCTTTGTAGAGATTTCACATTGCTATCACCACACCCTGTTCCTCAGGACACTTTCCTTGTTGTCCTGTAATGTCCTATTTAACCCAACATACCTATCTAAGGTGCAGTATGAGATCTGCAGTGGAAACACTGCCAAGCTGCATGTGTTGCTGCTGTTCAAGGGAAAACCAAAGTTCATGGGGAAAAAGTAAGGAAATTAAGAAAACAAACTCAATTTCAAATAACGATATGGCTTTAATCGTCCCCTTTCATATATCTTCAATATATGGTGCACTCAACCCCTTTCAAAAAAATAAATACAAGCAAAATGTACAAGCCAAATGAACTTTCCTAACCAGCTGAGTGCTGACAGTCATTGTGTAGAGAAAATTGTATGTCTTTCTTCTAGGGAGAGACTTGATGCATTGGCAGCCAAATCACCGGAATTTTAAACTTACTGTGCACACCGTCACATTCAGAACAGTATTTGCAACAACTGATGTATGAGCAGCATTCGTCATAGACATAAATGTGCATAAACCTCCATTCTTCCAATTGGCTACAGAACTTATGTAATTACTCAAGTGTGTAGGCTGCATACTAGCCATTCAAATGACTTTAAAAATGGCTTCACAGATACATAGTGTATATATATATATATAATCTACACATCACAATGATTTAATTGTCTGCGTCCATTGTTGAAATGTGATTTATAGCTACTTTTTTAAAAAACATGAGTAGAAAAAAACATATAGATAAAGGTTACAATGTATAAATAGAAATGATAGAAAAATAGATATGTTGTACATAACAATAATACAATATGCCTGTATAACACCAAACCTACTGAACTTTATTTTGGCCTGCACAACATCCAGTTATTCCAGATCTGAACAGAAGCATGGACGAAACTCAAGGGATTTAGTATTATTTCCCAGGAACATGGCAGAGATTAATATAGCAAAGTTTCTATGGTCTGGCTTCATAAACACATAAAAATATTTTTCACGGTCCTGGACTGACAACATAGCTCCACTGTTTAGAGTTTGAAAAAGCTCTGAACTCCTTTTGTCCTGACAGAAAAGTTCCTCCTCTTTGGAACGTTCCTTTCTGTTCCTCTCATACAGAAGGCACAGCGTAGCTGCACTAATGGAGCTACAGAGCAGAGACTCATCCAGCACAGCTCATGTCAGCTCATTCTTGTGCTATTTCTGCTTATTGGAATGGTGCATTGTCATATTCTTGTTGAAAATCAGATTTTTAAAATACGTATGAAAAAGTTATAATTCCAAGGATGTGCTCATGCTTATCCTTGTCATTACATTATTGGAGGGTCTGGTTGAAGGAGTGAAGGTTGAGGGCTGCCTTGGTTGCAGTGACCACGAGATGGTAGAATTCAGGATCTTGTGTGGTAGGGTCAGTAGAATAGCAAGTAGAATCGCAACCCTGGACTTTAGCAGGGCAAACTTTGGCCTCTTCAAGCAATTGCTAGGGGAAATCCCATGGGCTAGGCTGCTTGAAGGGAAAGGGGCCCAAGGGTTGACGTTCAAGGACTGCTTTTTCCGAGCTCAAGATCGGAGCATCCCGACACGTAGGAAGTCAAGGAAGAGGGTCAGGAGACCTGTGTGGCTAAATAGGGAATTGCTCGGTATGCTCAAGTGGAAGAGGAGAGTTTACAGGTCATGGAAGGAAGGGCTGGCCACTTGGGAAGAATATAAGGCTGCTGCGAGAGGATGTAGGAAAGCTGCTAGGATGGCTAAGGCCTCCTTGGAATTAAAGCTGGCGAGAGGGGTCAAGGACAGCAGAAAGAGCTTTTTCAAATACATGGCAGTTAAAACTAACACCAGAGGCAATGTAGGCCCGCTGATGAACGGGGCGGGTGCCCTGGTGACAGAAGACACAGAGATGGCAGAGTTACTGAATGCCTTCTTTGTCTCTGTCTACTCTGCCGGAGGCAGTCCTGAAGAGCCCTGTACCGCTGAGACCTCGGATGAAGATAGGTCAACGGAGTGGTCTGCCTTAGTCGATGAGGAATGGGTTAAAGACCAGTTGAGCAATCTGGATATCCCTAAATCCATGGGTCCAGATGGGATGCACCCGCGGGTGCTGAGGGAACTGGCTGAGGTCATTGCTAGACCGCTCTCCATCATCTTTACCAAGTCTTGGGAAACGGGAGAGGTGCCTGAGGACTGGAGGAAAGCAAATGTCACTCCTGTCTTCAAAAAGGGCAAGAAGGAGGACCCGGGTAACTATAGACCGGTTAGCCTCACCTCCATTCCTGGGAAAGTGATGGAACACCTTATCCTTGGTGCCATCTTAAGGCATATCAAGGATAAGAGGGTTATGAGGGGCAGTCAACATGGCTTCACCAAGGGGAAGTCGTGCTTGACCAATCTCGTAGCCTTTTATGAGGAAATAACACGGTGGATGGATGATGGCAGAGCGGTGGATGTGGTCTACCTTGACTTCAGCAAAGCGTTTGACACGGTCTCCCACGGCATCCTTGCGGCTAAATTGAGGAAGTGTGGTCTGGATGATCGGGTAGTGAGGTGGACTGTGAACTGGGTGAAGGAGAGAAGCCAGAGAGTTGTAGTCTATGAGGCGGAGTCTAGTTGGAGGCCTGTATCTAGTGGAGTGCCTCAAGGGTCGGTACTGGGACCAGTATTATTTAATATATTCATCAATGATTTAGATGAGGGAATTGAGTGTACTATCAGCAAGTTTGCTGATGACACTAAGCTGGGAGGGGTGGCCGACACGCCAGAAGGCTGTGCTGCCATCCAGAGGGACCTGGACAGGTTGGAGAGCTGGGCGGGGAATAACTTGATGAAATATAACAAGGGAAAGTGTAGAGTCCTGCATCTGGGCAGGAACAACCCCAGGTTCCAGTATAGGCTGGGGAACGACCTGTTAGAGAGCAGTGTAGGGGAGAGGGACCTGGGGGTCCTGGTGGACGACAGGGTGACCATGAGCCGACACTGTGCCCTTGTGGCCAAGAAGGCCAATGGCATCCTGGGGTGTATTAGAAGGGGGGTGGTTAGTAGGTCGAGAGAGGCCCTCCTTCCCCTCTACTCTGCCCTGGTGAGACCTCATCTGGAATATTGTGTCCAGTTCTGGGCCCCTCAGTTTAAGAAGGACAGGGACCTACTGGAGAGAGTCCAGCGCAGGGCAACTAAGATGATTAAGGGAGTGGAGCATCTCCCTTATGAGGAAAGACTGAGGGAGCTGGGTCTCTATAGTTTGGAGAAGAGGAGATTGAGGGGTGACCTTATGAGTGTATATAAATATATAAAGGGGGAGTGTCACGAGGATGGAGCCAGGCTCTTCTCAGTGGCAAACAATGAAAGGACAAGGGGTAATGGGTACAAATTGGAGCACAAGAGGTTCCACTTAAACCTGAGAAGAAACTTCTTCTCAATGAGGGTGACGGAACACTGGAACAGGCTGCCCAGGGAGGTTGTGGAATCTCCTTCTTTGGAGACATTCAAAACCCGCCTGGACACGTTCCTGTGTAACCTTATCTAGGTGTTTCTGCTCCGGCAGGGGGATTGGACTAGATGATCTTTTGAGGTCCCTTCCAGTCTCTAACAATCTGTGATACTGTGATTATTTATGCTAGTGAAAGGAAACAAGTAGTGTTTATAAGTTTTGACATCACATACTGACATTAGATCCTCAGCTCAGGGAACAAACATAGTGGGTTGTCTCTCCTCATGATCAGAGGAAGTGCATGAGGTGAATCAATGCATTTCTTTGAGTATGATGAAAAAAAGTAGATGAACATATGGGTAACTACAGAACTCCAGAGAAGTTCTTAGATTTTTAGATAGGCCAGTCTCTGGTTGGTTATCATCCTGGTAAATACAAGGAACTTTGAAAGTTACTGCAGCACTCATCTGGAATAAGATGTGCAATTTTGGGAAGAGAAAAAAGGATTCACTGATACCAGGTGAAAAGGGTTACTTTGGGATATTCAGGAGAATGGAAAGCCTATCTTAAAGGTGGAGACTAAAGGACTGGGCTTGTTTATCCTAGCAAACAAAGGCTGGGAGAAGGTTCTGTTTGATCTGTAAAACAGAGTGAGGTAAGAAGAGCTCTTTAAACAATTGGGCATCAGAAATGCCAAAAAACTGGGGTAAACCCATATCATCCCACCTACATGCCTGTGAGAAATCATAATTTCCTGATGCTTCTGCCCCACTGAGGGAAGTGAGATTGCGAAATAGGTTCCTGCAGGTCTACATGAGAAGCCAGGGTAAAAAGGGAGCTGCTGAAGGGGACTGCACCTCATAATGCCCACAAGGCAAGGCAAGCCACAAGGCTGGACTGTGTGAGCCAGGAAAGCCTTTCAAACCTGGTAATGGATAACTGCTTAAGTACCACAGGAGGAGGTATTTTGTGTGGCCTGCTTTCCTTGGGTATGGAAAAAGGAAAGAGACCTGAAAGAGAAACGGCTCCCTAAAATGGCTTTTCATCTTCAAGTACTTTAACGCTGACCCGTCATATGCTGGAGATTCTTTTCCTGGCCACAGTCCTTACAGTATTTTTAGGAAGAGCCTTCCCTTTTATTAGTGTCTGCCCAGGCACTTGGAAATGGTCATTGCCATCCACAGAGTTTTGCTGAGATTTACATGAGTCTGAGACAGTAGCTCGGGAGCTGGAAGACTTTGAATCCAAAGAAATCTGACTAACAGCAACACTGCTTGCACTCTTGGAAGAATACGTATAAATCATTTTAAGAAAGGCAGATTTTGTGTTTGTTTCTTGCTTGTAAATGATGATATAGCACTTTGGAAGAAAAGTGCAGCAGAGAATTCCGTAATTTGATATTAAAACGACGATGATTTCCACTGCTGGCAGGTATTTACCAAATGTAGTTGCATAGACAGGGATAAATACAATCCAAGCTATAAAGTAAATTAGCATGCCAAAGGTGATAAATTTAGCTTCATTGTAGTTCTCTGGCAACTTCCTACCTTTAAAGGCAAATATGAAGCAAATGAAGGCTAGGGCAGCGATGTAGCCCAACATAATCCCAAAAGCCAAAACAGAGCCCTCATTGCACTCCAGAATTATTGCTCTTGAGATTGAGAAATTTTGCTTTACAAAAGGTGTCCTAAATATCAGCCAGAAGGTGCAAATGACAACTTGAATTCCAGTGCAGGTGACCACAATGGGAACAGGTTTATACATACATTTCAGGAAATTCTGCAGCTTGGGATCAAAGCTGAAGGCTAGTAAAATTTTTAGTGACTTGATTAAAATACATGAAATGCAGAGGGCAAAACTTATGCCAAAGAGGGCTTGCCTAGTTTTACACTTGAATTCTGTGGGTTCATCTATGAAGAAGGTGGTGCTTAAAAAAATTAAGAAGTGGCTGAAGAGAATAATGTAGCAGACAGTTAGACCTCCAGATGCTTTTACAACTGGCGTGTTCAAGTTCTTAGTGAATATCACACTAATTGACAAAACCAACACAACCCCAAAAGCGGAGAGGAGGAGAAGGAAAATAGCAAACCAGTCAGTCCATGCGAGGAAATGTATTGTCTTGCTGTAGCATGTACTACTGTTGACGGGAGCCCAGTAGGTTTTGTTGTCACATTGGTAGCAGTAATCCATATCTGAAAACAGAAAGAAGGAAGATAACTTAGAAACCCAATGTAAATAAACCCCACAGTGAAATATCGAGGCTTGAGATACATGAGATACAGGAGCAATGTGGGAAGGGATGCTAAGGGGAATACACAGGGCTGATGGTTTCCGACTGTTGATGTCGCTGTCCAGGCGGCGGAGCTGCAGGACTGCAGTGTCAGGGGTGGCAGTGGTGGCAGCAGTGGCAGCAGAAGGAGCAATGGATGAATACCTGCCAGCTGGCATCAAGGGCTGCCTGCAGCCAGCGGCAAGAAGGGGACAGGGAGAATGACCAGGGTCCTGAAACTGCCTTGGACATCGCTGACAGGCAATGAGTGACCTGGCCAGAGATCAGGAGAAGCAATCTTTAACTGACACCTGAATAATGCCTTGAGAGTAAACCAGTTCTCTTGCAGAAATTTGAACTATGCTTCTTTCATTCACCTATTTTGACCAGAAAAAAAACCCTGCTTTCTCTTTAAAGACAGCTTTTGAAATACAATAGCAAGAACAAACACTGCTTTAGATTATGCTTTGACATGTTAGGTTTGTTTTAAAATTTCTATCCCCTGATATGGAGAAATTTCACAGTTGTTTGAATTAAAAATTAATTTCCTTCTGCTCTCAGGGTATTAAAGTACCTCGCACCACAATTTTCTTAATTTCATCTCTCTCTTCCATATTTGATTTTCCTCTTAATTTTTTTTTTTCCTCAAACCTATAAATGAGCTAGTGGTAAAATACATGTCAGTTTTGATAATACAAAATATTACTGTACAGTCATATCAAACTTTGCAGTACTCCCTGGTAAGATAAAAGAACCCTAACTGGTAAGCAAAATGCATCACCCTTGAACTTTCTAGACTTATAGAATGGTTTGGGTTGGAAGGGACCTTAAAGATCATCCAGTTCCACCCCCCCCACCATGGGCAGGAACACCTTCCAATAGACCAGGTTGCTTCCAGCCCTGTCCAACACAGCCTTAAACACTGCGAGGGATGGGACACCCACAACTTAATGTCTCACCATCATAATAAAAAAAATTCTTCCTTATTCAGCTGGTTGTGCTGAAGAAAGACAGAAACAAGAGTCATTCTCTCTGATGAATCAGCCAGGCTTTCCATCCTAACAAAGGATAATGCTAGTCAGCTGGACGATTGAATTGCTTATAGTTTGGTCTTCTAAAAAGCATTTAAACAGAGTTTTATAGGCTGAACACTCATATTTTTGGAAATCGAGCATAAACAAATATTTTAATCCTACTCCAAATTTATACCCAAGTTTGCCAAGGCACATTATACCCAAACAAAACCATTGTACTGATGTCTAAATAAGCCTTTATTTGGATCACCATTCCTTACCTGTTTGATTGCTGTAATGGTTTTCTGGGCAGTAAACACACTCATAGCAGCACGTGTGTGGACTTCCTGTAACCTTTTTCATCTGCCCTGGTGTGCAATGCTGGGAGCATGTTGACTGAACCTTCTGCAGTGTGCAGAGAACAACAACAACAAATCAGCTCAGGCTTAACTAACTACTAAGAAACATTAAAATAAACCTCCAGGAATTCTGGAATTTGCACTTTCTATTTGTATCTAACATATTGTGAGAGAATACAAAAATGGTGCTGGAGAAAGGCATTGTAGGTTCCATGTTTCTTGCCTTTTTTTTCTTCACAGTCAGCAAATGACAGGATGGGACATTACCTACCTTGCAATTTTACTTTTTTGGCAGTGAATGTCAATCAGTGGAATCATCTGTACCTTTAAAATCCAGATCAAGTTGTCTCATCCAGCTTTGAACCTGGAATTTAGTTCTCCTGGGGATCAGCTCTAAAGAAATCCCATCTGATGAGGGATTTGAGTGGACTGCTTCCCAAGTGAAATCCTGAAACCTTGCTCAGCTGCTCTGAGCCACGTGAGATATCTGGGCTCAGGAGAAACACCTGCGTGTGTGCTCTGCACTGCAGATCTAATGTTCCTGAACCTCAGCAGCTCAACCCTGAGTCATGAAGCACCACTCCAGGGTGTGTGATCAGGGCCTTCTCTCAGATCTCAGTTCAAGTCCTCCTTCCAAAGACCATGTTTGTAAAATGGAGCAACAGTCCTGAGGGACACGGGAATAGCATCCTTAGGACAGATGTAAGTTCTCCTCTTGGGAAACCTCCTACAAACATTCTGGAGAAATAACTTGGTCTCAAATCACTGAGCCTGCTTACAGGAAAACATGCTTCTCAGTGTGCATGAAAGTGCATGAAAGGTCAAATATACCCTTGAGAGGGCTCTTTGGTCTAAAAGGAGAACATGAAATCACAAGAGAGATTTCTAGCTGACACATACTTCAGTCGTAAATACTGGGGGGAGGAGAAAACATACGAAACAAATTTCACATGTCAAACTTCACATCAGAAGTTACCTTTAAATCCAGAAATGCCTTTTTTTTCTCTTCATCCTCAAAGATAAAGTTGCCTTTCCCTGGGTCATATTCTGCCATAGTGGTGATTTTCATGTGGCCATCAATTTCTTTCCAAAGAAATACATCATAACTGGTGCTCATGTCTCCGTTGGAGTCAAACTTGATTTCTTTATCATCATAAATGACTGTAACATTTTTCAGTTCTTCAAGGAGCTGAACATAAGCATAAGGAATGATAACGTACATCAGTATCATGTCAGTGGGACAAACTTAGTAGTTTAACACCTTCATGAGAATGTCAGGTTGAACATAAATGTTGCTTCTTAGAAGTAAAAGAAATCTTAAAAATAAACCCAATTTTTAAAAACTGTTTAATTTGGTGTTGGACATGGAATTACATTATTTAGACAATCCTGTTGACCTCATGAATCTATCAATTAAAATGAATCATCATTTCTTAACTCTATGCAGTGTGTACAAACATTCATGTTAGCATTTTTTTCCAGCCTTGGAAATTTTGGTGTGACAATGAGAAAGGGAAGATTTTTGTTTGCTTGCAAGTACTAATGGCCTTTTGGAACTCCTCTTCTTGTAAGGAGCAATTGTGAGCAATGATCCTGTTGTTACTTTACTGTCACCACAGTTGGTACGGGTAACATTTGCTTCCAGAGTAAGCTCTCCCAGTGTGTCTGGGAATAACTAACATTGTTTTCAGCTGTGACTCTGACTGATACTGTGTATTGCAAGGTGAGCTCAATGAACAGTATGTGCCAGCTTGCTCAGATGAAGTGATCAATGGCACAATAGGAATAAGCAGCAAGGGAATATTTGATAGATTATAGGAAATACCAAAACTGATTCCATTCGACAGGGATACATTTCTGTCTCCGTCATCACAAGCAGCCAGATCAAAAATTTCTGTGTGAAACTAGAAAAAGACAGGTTAAGGCCCAGAGCTCACTCCCAATTCATAGGGAGACCACAGAAGGGCATTCATTAGCTACTGTGGTTCTGAACTGAAGCAAAGACTTTTACCCTTTTCCAGGTCTAGTGACTTTTGGCAACAAGGATTAATTAACAAGAAAAAAACCCAAGGTTCTGGTGAAAGAATGAATTTAAATTGCTTTGAAAAGCAAGCTCTTAAATGGATCCATTTGTTATATCTGTATCATTTAACGAACATATATGTACAGAACACATCTCTGTATGTAACACACCATTTTTTCATGTATAACATCTCTTTTTCTTTGAAGAATTCACGTATTCTCACTGCATCTATACCAATTTATGAAGAACCACAGTGTACTTCTAACCAATACTGCATTTGAGCTGGATGTGGCATAATTGTATGGGACTGAATAGGAAATTTTTTTATTGCATATACTCAGGCTAGTCATTTAGTCTTTCTCTTCTCCACTTTTCCAATTTCTACAAAAATATGGGAACAACAGAGTTTTTGCAATACATCTTGAGCTTCAGACAGAAGTGGCTAATTAATTAGCAACATTTTAATGTAACTGATGGTTATTTTTGCAAAGTCTGTAGCATCAATGGATTTCATTTTTCTGTATGTGGAGATGTGTGATACGAATTAGTTGCATCTTAAGCTCTATGCATATATATCCATTTACTAGAGGATTTCATTTTAACATAGAGAAAATATATTATGAAAGCAGCACAGGGAGAATAACTACCTCAGTGTTCTTCATGAGTTATTAGCCTTTTAATAGGAATTTTAATTTGGGTGATTTGGGATTTAACTCAGCAATGGTGTACCTGCAGCTCTATAGAGCTGCATCCCCTGCAGAGCAGTTTTGAATTTGTCCCATTTTCACTACAAATTCATGTAAAAGTCTGACTTCTGTTAATTTTGTAATTATTATTTCAAATCCCTTATCTTGGTTTGACCTGCCCTGACCTAGGGTAAGAGGTCAGAGCAAGTCAGTGTTTCAGTGGTTGGTTGACTTTTAAATTAACTTTTGTTTAATCCTCTGAGTAAAAGTGTGTAAAAGTGAATACCTGTGAGCAGGTTCTTGGGTAAAAGGTCAGGCCAGGTTTACTTGCCTGATTTTCCCCTTCTTTTCCCACCCAATAGAGTTTGATAACAAGTACCTCACCCATCTTAAAGATTTTGTCTAATTTTCTTACCAGTCACTTCAGTATAAATTAAGATCAGACAGAGAAATAGTCTGTTGCATTTTCACTTAGAAGTAAAGATTCATTATGGAGGAAATAGCCTGAATTCAAGAGAGGGGGGGTAGACAGAGGGGCAGAGCGAGTTGGGGCGAGGAGAGAGAGTGGGGAAAATTGAAATTCTTTGGTGAATGCTCCTACCCTGCAATATCCCCATCTCCTGAGAGCACTCATTGCTGTGTATTGCAGTGGTTTGTGGACCAAACATCTGCTGAGATACTGGATGCAGTGCAGCCACATTAGCTTTTTGGACCACGGCCGGTTTCAATTTTTTTTTCCACAGAGCACTTCATTGACAAAAATGGCTTTTGGATAAACTGTTGCTTTGTTTTGGTTGGAATTTTCGAAGTTTTTGGACAAAAATACACACAAAGGATTTGATTTTCTGTCACCTCATCCACTCCTCTACTGGAAAAAAGGGAGCTGAGGGAAAAAATGGACAGGTAAATATATGTGTGTTGTAAATCACAAGGGAGTCATTGGGCATTATCTGAATCCTGGGCAGGAGCTTCCCAGGATCCAAAATCTTGTCCTTCCTTTTCCATTGGATGTGTGGCATGGGGTCCCCTTCTGCCTGGGGCTGGAACATGGCTGTGTGCCCCTTGGTAGACTGTCATGGGCTCTGGCTCTAGCTTGAAGGTGACGTCGTAAATCACAAGGACCGACTAGTAGTAGTTGAATACCTGACAGGTCAACTGTAAATTGACCATTTTATTCTCACGAGTAGCTAGCAAGACATTCCAGCAAGGATCCTACAGACTGCAGCCTTCATCCAAGCTGTGTGCTCTTTGAAGGTGGCAGGGAAAATGTTAGGGTAGCTAATGAAGCCTAGCAGGTAAAGATCCCTTCTAGCACTTGTGGAGTCATGCATTTACAGCCACTGCTGTGGTGCCCATGAAGGAGGAGATGGTGAGCATGCAATTGCTCATTATAAGTTAGCTATCTGTATATGAAATGCATTAATCGTTCTCTACCATCTACAGCAGAACACAGCCATGGCTTAGCACCAGGAGCCTCTGCATCTACATGGGCAAAAGGGAGACAGATCTGGAGTCTAGTTCTTGTCTCTGCAGCAGTTAGATACTGCTGCTCTAGCACATAGTCTGTGATTTCAGTTGGTGAAGGAAAGCAGGAACAAGAATAAAAAGTGATTTAGTAAGAGGACCAAGCTAGTAAATCTGAGAATGTGGGAGCAAAAATGAGATGAAAGTTGTACAAAGAGAAAGCGACCTGAAAGAATGAACATCATACCTCCCAGGGAGTGAAGGCAGAGGGATCCTTGCAGTTTCTGGTTTTGCATAGCCCTTTAATGGCGTAAGCAATAGTATAGACTGCAAGTACAGTACTATGGATAAATCCCGGTTCAATGTTTGCATTCAAAAAATCATCTTTCCAGATCTGATGTTTATTCTCAACATTTTGCAGTAGATCATCCTGGGACTGGTTTGAAATGCATGCTTGAAAATCATAATATTCCAGGTGTGCACAAACTGACAAAAGCATAATATATTCACGTAAAAACTTGTTATTGGCAGTGGGCATTTTGTGAAGGTTTCTTAGAAAGTCTTGAAAAGCGGAGATGTCTCTGCTTTTAAATCCAAATCCCACAATGGTTCCCAGCTGTCTGATATTGGGAATTGTACTGATTTTGACTGCAGATGACCAGTTATCACTTGCAATCCAGATTTTATTTACATTCCTCTCAATTGCCTTCTTAAATAGTTTGAGCACGTGGAACTGTCTCATAAAGACAACAATAACATTTACTCTGGTTTCCTTGACAATCTTGTCAACTGCATGATCAACTTTGGCGTGAAAGGTATTGTCAGAGAGGTAGGCAGGCAGCATTTCTTTAAAAGCTATGCAAACATTGTTTGCCATGGCCTGGACCCCAAAGCTCTCCACAGCGAACCGCCCATTGTCATCATCAGTGGCTATTACTCCAATCCAGTTCCATCCCGACTCACAGATCAAGTGGGCCATTGCTCTTGTCTGATGAAAATCACTGGGGATAGTCCTGAAGAAAGAAGGAAACCGGATTTTGTCACTGAGGATTTCAGCTGATGATGCAGGACTGACCTAGGAAGAGTGAACAATTCAGTTATGGAGGTGGTCTCCTTCAATGGACAGCACAAGATCTGAGGCTGCCACAATTCCTCTTTCATCCAGCCTGACCTAGGCTCCCTACTCCTGTGAGTGAGCATCAGTAAGGTGCAGCCGAATGGGGCAGTTTCCCTCCCCCTGCTCTTAGGATGCAGACTCATGTCCACTACCACTTCCACTATTTTTATTCTCATCCATATAATTCACTGAAGGCAGAAAATAAAACTTTTCAAAATGGCTATGACAATTATGCTGGTATAATGATTTTGTTCTACTCTGTTCAGATACCATCTACCTGCTATTCAAAACACTATCTAAAACATTGGAAGCATTAACTATTGTTTGATCACTTACACATGCACACACACACATATATATGTTTTGTCTCCAAGATTTAATTATAATATTTTAAAAGGATCATTAAGTCTGTTAGAAACTCCCAGAAAAACAAACAGTAATCAATACTGTAGAATACTATAACATTTTTAGATAAACAGTTTGCTACCTTTTTTCTTGTGAATGTAGCTAGAAAAATGTAAATGGAACATTGTTATTTAAATCTTTCTAGATTTAATCCTTTTATATTTGCTTGCAGGAGGGTTTTTTTATTTACACTTTCCTACGTTGCTTGACAGTTCCTTAAATATATGCTTTCCGAAATGAGAGTCACCCATCTGGAGGGATGTACTAAATCTTACTGGTGTCAGAAGATTACAGATGACATTGGTGAGAAACCTCTGTGGGTCACCTTTTTCATTTCTGCTTTCCCAAGCAGATTTGTTTCATTACTTGCCTCTATATGATGTTCAAGCATGGCATTTTAGTTTTCATACTTATTATAGCTCCTGTGGTGGAGCTGAAGGTCATAATTACTCCCTACCTCTGCAGAGGAAAAGATTCAGTTAGAAGTTATGTTTGGTTCAGGTTTCATGTCTTTTCCATGTGTTTGGTTACCATGTACTTTGCAGTGAGGTAATTCATCTCCAACCTAATGTGGAACAGAGGATGGTGTGGAAGTCCATCTCTTTTTCCCTTGTTCGTTCTGGCCTGGTCTGCAACTGGTTTACAGTAGTGAAAGTAGAAATGTAAGCACTAGCCTGAGTGCAAGTGTGGGGCTACTAGTCCTAGAGAGGTCAGAAATAGAGAAGGATGTTTTGTGAAGAGCTAGTGTAGATTTGAAGGGTTGTGTTCTTTCTCTTCTACAACTGTTCGAAGAGTAACAGGAGTAAAACTGTTTAAGAGCAGTGTTCCTTACTTCCCTGCCTACAGTTATGACAGATTCCAATGTCTAATCTCTTTCAGGCAGGAGAGAATTTCCAATTTACTGGCCCATCCCACACTTGGGACTGGGTGTTGTCATATTCACCACCAGTCAGTCTAGACATGGTGGATGTAACTTTGCTTCCTGAGCAAAGTCCTTGAGTGTCACCCAAGGCACACTGGAATCATTCACACATTGTCATTCAGGACTGACTAATGGCACTGCCAGGCTAGTATGAGCCCAGCATCATCCTGAAATAGGCACTTGGAGGCATGTGCCTTGGGCATATAAAATATCCCATACTGCCTCTGTTTGATCAAGTGAACCAAGCCCTTCATTTGGAGCTGAATCCCACCCCTCCTGATGTCCTTAGCCAAATCCTGCTCTGTAGCAGGTATGGCTTTTGCAATCCCTGTAATCAGAGCCAATCCTTTATTCTAAATGTGGTAAATGTGGCCCTCTGATCAAACCAAAATAAATGCCTCAACCCTACCTGTGGGATTAGTTGCAAAGCCAACAGCCTTGAAACTGCCATCGACACCTCTGAGTAGGTGGCTCCAGTGACAGCCTTAACTCTTGGGATGTAGTCTGAGTAGTTACACTTGAACTCCACAACATCCTCAGAGGAATTGAATTTAGACAGAAACCTCAGAGCAGATGCCATGGCTTTTGTAACTTCTGCACATGTGTCATAGATTTCATAGCCCAGAGTAACTCCAGGGAGCAGCGTTGAGTTGTTGATAATTTCAATAGCATGTATCATTGCAAGTGTCTGAAGAAAAATCTGAATTTCAAAGCTGTCAGGAAACACAGAAGTTTCATTTTAGAAAAACATTGCTGGGAACAAGGCTGAAGCAAAGTCCATTTTGAATATATTCCTTAGAATTTGACAACTACTGAAAAGAAGTGATAGAATGTTTTGTATGATTTCCATGGGGTTTAGTGTAACAAAGATTAGAAACTATGTATTTTTGCCTCGCCTAAATGTGAGATTAAGCAAAATAAACACAAAACTTAAAATATACCTGAACAAAAATGCTTTTTTGGGGAAAAAAACCAAACCAAACCAAACAACAACAACCAATAACCAGGTACTAAAAATAAAATTTCATGTTACATGAAAATTTGCAAGTGATATATTCAGGAAGCATCTGTCAAAGTCAGTGAAGTTATTGCAATTTACTTCCTCTGCCAGTAAGTTTATATAAAAATTACTTTTTTATTTAATAAAAGCATGGAATAAAGAAAAGATCAAATATGTCAGAGGAGAAGAAAATATTTCAGAGATTGAGGTCTTCTAGTGCTTGCACTGATTTTCCCAGAATTCTCTCTAAACCTGATGAAGTTAGTACAGCTATTCCCCTTATCTCCAGTAGATACTATGAGATGCTTAATCAGAATTGTGCTAGAACAGAGTGTCAGCAGTATGAGCTACCTTCCTCTCAGGCAAGCTTCTCTGAAGTTTACAAATCTTGCCAAGTAAATTTAATTTCAGATGGACCCAAGGAACTTTATGACTCCATAGAAGAATAATGGAATACTGACAACATTTTGAACTTTGTCACCATTTTGAAATAAATCCACATGGATATCTGCATGTCTGGCTGATTATTAGATTCAGGTGTGGGATTAAGTTGCATGTAAAATTCAAAGAAAATTTGAGGATTTGCACCTGTATCAAAATTAAAGAAAATGCATTTTTGGAATTCCAGGGCTTAGGAAAGCTTTGTTTTATGCTTAAAATGAAAATTTTCCACCACGCTTCCTTTGCATTGTTTCCAGAAAAATTTGTTTCAAGTACAGTAGGATTTGGAGCCCATGAAATAAATATTCTGATGCATAGTCTGAATCTGAATGCAGATGTGACATGTTGTGTTTTACATAGTCTAATGTAATGCCACGATTATAATACGAAGTGTAATAATTACAGTAATTATAACAGTAATTATGATCTAGCCAGCAAGGTACCATCATAGATTACAGCTGAGCTGCCCTGTGAAGTGAGGGGATTACTTTAGTATGTGCTTAGGTAAACTTGAGCACTCTATCTGTGTTCAAATCATGTAGGTACAACTTCATAACAAATAATGAACAATTGCACAGTAGAGTACTTCAGGAATGATTCAGAAATCTCCAGGGCTATTTGGTATTTATATGAAGATTGAAACAGGATCCAGTGCTCATTTTCTTCCTGAGGCATCCACAATATTTTTCATTGTAACTTTGCCACAATTTGTTATCGTGTATTATTTTACACTATTTATGTGAAGTCCAAGGTCTTCTTACAGACTAAGAAGTGCAAGAGAACCAGGTTTTTCTGATCTTAATGTAAGGGGTACATGCCCAATATCAGTGATCTCTTCTCTGTTATATATGTAATTTCAAGTATTACTCACCCAGCACAATTCTGAATGACTGGCTTGATGGGATGTTCTTCTGGATGCATCATTTCACTATGAACTGCAAACAAGCCTCCAATAACAATGTCCCCCGGAGAACTGGCTCCCACAAAGTCATCAGTATTCTGGCAAGAGAAAGCGATATCAGTGCTGATCACAAAACAGAGGATCAAAAATATAACAAATGCCATGTTTCTGTTTCACTTGCTCTCTACCAGCTTCAAGTCTATTAAGTTAACTGCAGGGCCAACAAGGGCTCCTATGTCACCTATAAAAAAAAAACAGCAAAGGAAAAAGGCTGCACTCGAAAGTTAGCCACACCTCATGAGGTGCTTGTATTTGCTTCACTGGCTGAGGTTATTTTGCTGAAGGTACTGAAGCAATGCTGTCAGATAGACTGTGATGTTGCAGGAAATGTTGGACACAAAATCTTCTGCTGTGTTCAGAGTTTATTATACCTGAAACACATGTCAAATATTTTGGTATAAATTTGGGCTTGTCTTGATTTCCTTCCAACTGAGCGTAGGTGTGAAGAAGCAATCATGTACTGATTGAACAGTTGGTACTGATATTGCTGTGACTGTATTTTAAGATCTGGTCCAAAGAGTACTGAAAAAAGATCCCCCTGCCACACAGTGCTATAGAACAGACTGGTCAAAAAAAAACCCCTGCAACCCCAAACTATCTTTTTTCTGCTTTTTTATCAAAAAACCCCTTACCATTTTCTTGTAAGTTTTAAAATTTTTCTATAAAAATGATTTGTATAAGCTGATATTCATGGTTCTGATGCATACAGAGCTTCTAGGGACTTCAGCGGACTTTGGATCAGGTTCTGTATTTACAAGCTAGGCCACGACTGCTGTTTATTAGTTTGGTAAACACAGAACAGTGGGAAAACATAATATTAGCCCTAGTTTTTTGACTCTCTTCCCCCTTTGACATGTATAGCAGCTCCTTGGCTATAGGAGGATCAAGATGCAGCTGTTTTTGATGCCACCATTCCCCTCAAATTTGAAGGAATCAGATGCTGTATCAGAAGGGGACTGGGGGAAAAGAGAAACAGAAGCTGGACTCTCAGCTTTCATAAGCTCCAACCATAAACACCAAAATGAACCTTCATAGGACAGAAACATAATGATGCTACTGAAAAATCCCAATTTATGTAAAAGACACAGATCTGACAATAATCCCTTTCTGTTCTTGACATCGGCTTATTTCTCTGTTTTCCTATAGTGGCTTCTTCAGATTTTGTGTCTTTTGATAGTAAGCCAAAACACTCTCCAAACAATGGGGTCAGTTGTAGTGTTTATGTCTATGATTGTATTATAAAAAAGCTGGGGCTTACCCTGGAATAAAAATTTGTTTCCTGGCAAGCAGAAAAGAGAAACAGGATGCCTGTTTCATATTCTTTCTAATGAACATTATACATTCCATATAAATTATTGGAATTATTTGTATTTTTTTTTCTTTCTCACAAGTCTCTTTGTGGTTAGAGTTTCCATTTACAACATTTCTTGCAAATGCAAATGTAATAGACATATTACTTGCAAATGCAAATGCTAATTCCTAGTTAAGTTACTATTCAGTCTCTTCTTTGTTACAACAGATCGTGCTTCTTTCATCTGCCTTCTTTCTTTCTGTGTGGCATTTTCACACCTGGGTTAGGGCATATATTAAACAGCTGCCTGCTCTCTCTTTAAGGTATCTAATCCCATGCATTTATGGGCAGATGATGATACCAGTTTATTCTGTTTCTGCAGTGACTTGCAAAAATTCCAGTTATTCCAAAGGTTTTCCTTTTGACTTATAACAGCGTATCTGCTGTCAGACTCTGGCCCTGAGTTGTGAGACATTCACTTGCCAATATTAATGTACTCACTCCTTACCACCCTTATAATGCACCCTAAAGCCTAGCTCCACATACCCTGGTATTTCCTTTACCCTGACTCTGCCTATAACTTTATGTATAAAACTTGTGTATAGTTAGATGTAGTTAAAGCATAAGACTGGAGCTTAAGCAAGCCACAAAAAATATTCAACCGTGTGACTTTAATATGTAACTTGTAACACTAAGTATTGTATTAAGTATTGCATTAAGGACCTGATGGAAATGCAGTACTGATAAGCTGAAACTTCAAATTTTTATAGTTTATTATTAGAAGCAGAAAAGAAACTTTACTCTGGCCAGTCTCTAAAAAGCTATTCATTTCTATAGAAGAGGATTTTAGCTACAAACCCTCAAATTCTTACTTGGTCACTTTGGAAAGTGGAAGTTGACAAAATAAACATCACATTTAATTGGTGCATAATTTAATGTTATTTATAGAAACACTGCAAAATGAAGTCTGCTTCACATTCAACTACATAGAGTTTATGTCACAGTGTAGAGTATTTTCACAGGGAAGGGTTTTTATTGCTGTTGTTTGTTTTCAGGACCTATATCTCATGATTGCTGATAGTGATAAGAAGTAGACGCCTTACTGAGATAGCTCAGCATAAGCTAGTACTGCAGAATTAATTGGAAGTGTTTGCAAATATCCTTTTTCCCTGACATTTAAATACCAGTAGATACAAGTGTGTGGTAAAATGTTCTTTGCTTAAAATTTACTGATGTATTATTATAACATTGCTAGACTTTCACAGTTGCCTGCAGAGGAGTCTTTCCTGGCAGATAGAATCAAGAATCACATTCAGGGGAATTCTAGGAAACAGCCATTAATAGACTGTGCAAAGGCAGAAAACAGGACCTACCAAACCTGGAACTATTCTGGGAGCTAAGATTCCAGAGAGGCTTTAGAGGATCTTGTGGGAGACAAAGATGCCCTGTTGGTATCTCTGTATGCTCCCAAGTTACATGCTGCTGTGCCAATATGGCTATTTCTTCCACATAGGCTTCAGCTTCCCTTTGAGAAGGACAAAAATACGTGGGTTCTGAAAGAGAACCCTGTCAAGCTAAACCTGTAGGGGACTTGTAAATTTTTTGCTACAGTGTCATACCTACTGAAAGGATCCACAATCCAAAATGTGCAAGAGAAGCCAGGGGAACTTGAGTACGTGATCAGCTGAGTGTACTGTGAGAGCAGCGGATACCAGTGAATGGACCATTCGCCTCTCCCAGGTTTACAGCCTCTAGACCTGGCCAGTTAATTGCTTTTGTGCAGAAGGAAGTTTTGCAACTGTCAGTAACCTGGTCAAGCAAAGAAAGACTGTACTGTGCAGGAAATGAACATGAAGATTTGGCTGAATGTCTTTGTTTTAGCAGTTGTTTTTCATGGAGACATTAATGGCTTAGATTCCAAGAGGAACACCTTTTCTCTGAAGCCCATCCAGTCAGAGGGAGAGTTTTTTCTTCACTTTCTATCTTATACCAACCAGCATACAGCAAACCTGTTTCCAAACCAACATACAGCAAAGAGGAGAATTAAGGAGAGAAAAAGAAATTTGGATATTCTCACCATTATTCAAGAGTGGGATAACTCCTTCTCACTCAGACAGGACCCATCCTGACACTAGGGAGATTGTCCTGTTTGGAGAACCCAGCAGAATTCAAATAAAAGCTGTCATTTGCAGGGAACCTGATGCTTGTGTAAGTTTAGAGTGACCACCCCTTTTCTTATTGCTCCTGCTGAAGACATGAGTCCAAAAAAAGGAAGATAAGCCAGAATTTTGAACTGATGGTTTGCTCCAAATTCTACCACCGATTTCTTGTGCCTGATATGCACAGGACTTCCCAACCCTAGTCAAGTGCTTGCAGACAGGTTTCTGAAGGGCTCAACTTTTCAAATTAAGTAGTTTCAAAATGCCTTGAAACTCCAGACTTAACCTTCCTCTGGTTCATGCCATATCTGTAAAATAGAACAATAATGCCTTTCCATTCAGATCATAAATTCTTTAGAATAGCTATTGTCCTTCATTTATGATAGTCCCCCAGATTCTATAGAGTATTTTGATACAAGTCATAAATAACGTAAGAACCCGGCAAGAGAAAACAAGTTGGACTAATCCATGTCCAGATGAAAATCAGTGCTGCAATAAAGGAACATATCTTGCATGAAGTGTCTATTCAGAAAAGTTACTTTTCGCATAACTGTAATTGAGCCCGGCAATCCTGTAAGTGCTGTGGTTGCAGAAGCTCAGTAGAATTGCCTGTGTCTGCTGCCATGTCACTTCAACTCCAGAGCCACTATGGTATCCTATTGCTTTGGCCAGCACTTTGGCCAGAACACTTTAAAAACCAGAAATACCAAGGAAAATGCATGGAACTAAAAACCCTTCGGTTGCAATTGGAAGCAACCATTGTTTCCATCAGGGAAGCCATTACAAATGAGTACACTGACACCTTCCAGGCCAGGAAGAAAGAATTGCCCCTTGTGAAATTATTTGAATTTCCATGCAATCAGTTTATGGAGCCATTTTCTTTCAGTATGATAGACTGCATCTATACTAATAAAGAAAATAGATACAGCTGAGGTCAAAACATCAAGAAGAGTAAATACTGGTTAGGACTGCCATCTTTCTAGACCAACAGAGCCACTGTATTTAACCCAACAATTCTGAATTACTGACTTTCTTATAAAAAATTTTAAACAATGGAGTAAAAAAAACAAAAGGCCACAAAAAAGAGATGCGTACTTAATTACTTAATTTTAATTATCTTTTTAAAATATATTCATTTCCTGGGACTCTATGTAGCTTATTATTAAATATTAAAATTCAAGAATGGGCTGGAAAATATCCATTATTTTGATTTGTGGTCTGTTATAAAAAAACTTAAAAATGAAAACCACATTAATGGTGAAATGGATTTTGGATGGAAACCAAGCAGTCACATTTATTCCTGAGAAATTAACTCCTCAGTTTTCAGGTTCACTGTGTTTGTCCTCTAGAGGATGTCAGCTGAGATGCATGACAGGGAAGATGACCCCTGTTTTTCTTTATAAGGTCACAATACTATAATGCGCTGCTGATGTACTCTGAAAGCTGCATTTTCCCTGATGCAAATAGCCTTGCTGGAGTACTTCTGGTGGAAAACTAAGGTGCTGGAACACCAGCCTAGAAGACAGTTGTGACAGTGTTTTCAACTTCCTTCCTGGGCCATCCTCGTTTGATGCTTAAATGCATTTAAAATTGACTCTAATTTGAACTCTAGGACATCAGGTATCAATTTTTTTTTTTTTTAATTTATTCAAGGTTGTCATTGTCACCCTTATTCTAGAATTTTTTATTTATTTTGGTTTTCTTTTGAGATCTTAAAAGGTCTCAGCTCACCTTACAAGGTTTAACTGATTGTGTTATAAAAGTAAACATACATCGCAAAGAGTACAGGCAGAACAGGTGACACTCATAAAAATTCCTTTCAGATAAGGAAAAGAACCCCAAACAGCAAATCAGCAGGGGTCACTATGGAGACTGACTTTAATCTTCAGAGTTAAATACTGAAAAAGAAAAAGTTTCATAAACTAAGCCTGTTGGGAGTATTCCTTGCTAAAAATGTTCACTCTTATAACC